CCTGAACCCGGCTGCCAGGGAGAGTGGCTGAACGTGTCATGGGTGGGGTAGGGGGGCACAACAGGAGAAGAACAGAGTCCCCTCCCCAGACAATGTGGGGTGGGAAGAGCATGGTGGCCCTGGACTGGGTGCAGGGCTGTGGGGGTGTCACTGGGTGATCACATGGGATGCTCACGTCCTCCCCTTTAGATTGTGCCACCCTAGTATGGGGAGGCAGGAATCATCTATGCCTGGGATGACTATCACCCTCTAGCAGTGAGGAATGCAGAAAAAAGATGTTCTTTCTTCCTCTTTTTGTTTTATTAATAATGAGAGAAAAGTTAGAATATCTTCTGAACACCGGTGAGAGGGGGAGGATCCCCCCACCAAAAGGGCCGGAAAATGAACTAAAGTTCTTTTTCTTCTTCTTTTTTTTTTTTTAACCCAAAATTGGTAAATGGAAACACTAACAACTAAGAAGAACAAAAGAACCAAAAATAACTACTGCTTATACTAATGATGCAGAGAATGAAGAGATAACTGCTCGCTCCGTTTGAGGCCAAAGATGGTCCAGAAGGAATTAAGGGGGGTTCACACACAAAGCACTAGATAGCTTTGAGGAAGGCCACAAAGGAGGGAGAGCGCATGTGTGGTCTGAATGGACACTGCTACCTAAAATCTCTGATTAGAGGTGCTAGGGAGCAGATACACCTACAGTGGAGCACCTATAGGGACACTGCTTGAAGAAGAATATTTGATTATTATTCTATTGTCGGATATTTTAGTGCACTAAAGAATGCCGATAGCCCCATAGCCATGGTAAAATGATCATGAACCTTCCTCTCCATTTCACTAACAAACTCTGTGAATTCATAGGTCTTGACTGGTTTGGTTGATAAGCTGCTTGGCATTGGCTAGGTTAGGAGCATCCATGTTAGCTCTAATGCACTATGCCACTGCAAAGCGTATCAGGAAGTCCTGACTCAGTGCATCAAAGAGCTGTGAACCAAAGCACAGAAACTATAGTTTCGCCAAGACTAATACTTTCCAATTCCTGTTCTAACAGCCCTTTAACAGAAGGCGCCCTTCGTTATGCTCATGTAATTAATCTAAGAGTTAATAATAGTGCACATGCTTGGTTGGCTAATAACTGATAGAGAAGTAATTATAGAAAGAGTTTGTCAACTAGAGCTTCACTGAATTTTTGAGGCTATTAAGTATAACTTGTGCAGACGATAAAAAAACCCCCAGTCTGACACTTTATATACAAGTAAAGGTAACCTACCAGTTTTGTTCCACTGACAGTCTATATTCATTATCGTAGTTCCTATGAAATATACAAGAGGCTCACCTGAGTTTATGCAGATTTCTGACACTGCAACAGAGCTTTATGAAGTAGCCTCCTCATTAACAGTTATAAGAGAGAATGTTAACCATCAAAATGACAGGGCTTGTGAGCGGGGTGGAGGGGGCAATACATAGAAGAAAAGGAATCTTTTCCAGTAGAGTCAACTTTCACTGACTTAATGAGCGTGAGGGGAAAAATCAATTCTCCCCCATTTAAAGGGCATACAGAATGACTGCTCCAACCTCAGGCCAATTGCTTCTCATGCAAAAGAGATGCAACTCTGTGTTTATGTAACAATAGCAGCTTCTTACTGCTTTTCACCTCCCTTAGCACTGCAGACCCAAATGAAATTATCAGCAAGGTGCTGTGGCGTTTCATTCATTGCCTGAATAGTTCTTGGAGCTCTTCAGACGTAAGGCATTCTACCCATTGTTTATTATTCCTCTCTGATGCAACTATGGATTTCAAGGGAATTACATCAGATAATCTGCCCTGTCGCTGGTGAAGGTGTCACCATAACCAGCAGTTTTTCTTCACTCACTCCCCGTCAGCGGCAATAAAAATTTACAATTAATTATTTTTTCATAACACAAACAAGGCCATAGCGTTCATTAGCACATCGCTTGCATTTCAGCAAATGTCTGTCTTTCTGCGTAGCCATTACCAGTGCTTAACAAAACAGACAGGCCTCATCAGGGAAAACATTGCCTCTTCCGCCAAAAGAAGTGACATCTTCTCTATTTGGAAAAAAAAAAAATCCAGGCTGTTCCTCCCTATTAAAGGGAGCAGGGCTTCACCCGCTCATAGGACTCTATGCATTTAGTGGTGTGTCACAGTTGCATTACCACTGAGGTAACAAGCCTTGTTCAAAACAGTTTCCCATTTAAACTGCACAGTGGAGAAAAGGCCTCTAGCCTTACCTCCCCCATCCCTGACAACTGTTGTAACATCACCTTGCCTGTGATTTGCTTTGATTGTGCGCATGCGTATAAAACACCTACCAGCTTTCCGTCCATAAAGCTGGTCCTGTGTGGGCACTAGCCCCTCTGCAATGAGCCGGGGTGCATGGAGTGGGGAAGCAACTAGGACAGGGGCAGGCAAACCTTTGGGCCTGTGGGCCACATCGGATTTTGGAAATTGTATGGAGGGCCGGTTAGGGGAGGCTGTGCCCCCGCCCCCCTATCCGCCCCCCCTTGCTTGTCACCCCCTGATGGCCCCCCTGGGACACCTGCCTCCCCACTCCCTGACCGCCCCCGGAACCCCTGCCCCTGATTGCCCCCCACTACCCCATCCAACCCCCCTTCCTTCTTGACCGCCCCCCGGGAGCCCTGCCCCCATTCAAACCCCATTCCCCCATTCCCTGCCTTCTGACCGCCCCAACCCCATCCACACCCCCGCCCCCTGACCACCACCCCAAACTCCCCTGCCCTCTATCCAACCCCCCTGCCCCCTCACCGCACAGCACAGGGCACTGGTGGCTGGTGGCACTACAGTCGCGCTGCCCAAAGCGTTGCCCGGCCACCCGGAGCGTTGCGCCAACGTAGAGAAATGCAAATTGCTCTCCATAACGGCTACCACTAGTCCATTCCTACGCGGAGCAGTTTAATACACTACACTGGCAGCATGGCACGCTGAGGCTGCGGGGAAGGGGGAACAGCGGGGGAGGGGCCGGGGGGCGAGCCTCCCGGGCCAGGAGCTCAGGGACTGGGCAGGAGGGTCCCGTAGGCCATAGTTTGCCCACCTCTGAACTAGGAAGAAAAGAGCAAAACAAGAACAAACCTAAACCATCACACGGCGAACACAGAAGGCTGGGAATTTTGCCATTTAGGGCATGCCCAGTGTTGTCTTTAACACTGCATTTAGACATCATGGTGATAGTCTATATAAGGTGCCTAATAGGGAAGACTAGAAAAATCTGTTTATTAAAATCTCTGATGACACGCACAGGCTTTCATATAACAGAATACATTACATCCGAAATTAAAATCCTCTCCCCACACACAGAGCGCTTGATTCTTGCGTTTGTTTAGTCTGGAGAAGACTGAGGGGGGGACACGTTAACAGTTTTCAAGTACGTAAAGGGTTGTTACAAAGAAAAGTTGTTCTTGTTAACCACTGAGGCTAGGACAGGAAGAAATGGGCTTAATTGAAGCAAGGGAAATTTAGATTAGACATTTGTGAAAATTTCCTGTCAGGGTAGTTAAGCACTGGATCAAAATTGCCTAGGGAGGTTGTGAAATCTCTGTCACTGTCTAACCTGCTCTTAAAAACCTCCAAACACCTGTCAGGAATGGTCTAGATAATACTTAGTCCTGCCTTGCGCGCAGGGGACTGGACTAGATGACCTCTCGAGGTCCCTTCCAGTCCTACACTTCTATGATTCTGCAAGTGGAAAGTCACAAACTGCTCAGTGAGGTGGAATGCTGGTGTTCCATGATCAAAAGCTTCATTCAGATAGTTGGGCATGTCTAACTGTATTAAGACAATGATGTCCATGGTTTTTAAGTTATAACAATGCCTTATGATTAGCCAAGGAAAAAGTCTGGGTGGTTATGTATGGGTTGTTTTATTTTTAAATGCAACATACAGACATACAATAGACTAAACATTTGATTAGCAAAAATATTTTGCTGAGTCTGTCTGATCAAATGCTACAAATATCTATACAGGCCGGTTCAGGTGAGCAGTTCTGCGTCTCCAAGATGAATTCATGAGACTACTTATGTACAGGATAAGGTCTGTATGCTGGAAGGTAGCAGTTCCTCATCAGGTACCTTTAAGGCTGGAATAGTAAATACCGGACTGTGGAAACTCATTTCTGTTTTTGAATATATTAAAATTAATCCCTTTATCTTAACATTGGAAATAACCTTCCCGTCCAGTCTTTCCCTTCTAAAGTGAGTCTTGGCTAGCTACCTTGCATGATTTGTACTCTAACTCTGAAATGTGAAAATACATGTAAAATAAATACAAAATTATTGGCAGCAAAATCAGACACTTACTTAACGTTATTGATTTTTGCTGAGTTTCTCAAAGCCAGGCTACATGCTATGAGTACAAGTATGAAGATAACACTTCAAAATATTTTGAAGTCTACCATTAAAATGTTTTCCTTATGCATTCCTTATGCAAATTCTAAGCATCTATGAACAGTGAAAGTTACAAGTTTTCAGAACTAAAACAAAACCCAAAACAAACAAAAAATGTATTTTGAGGCAACTAGAGCTTTGCAATGTTACCCTGGGTACACATTTTAGCAAAGAAAATAGAATTTTACAGCATCATCAGAATATGGTGCACAAACTTGGTAATCGTTGCTCTTCAAAAATGCTGAAAAACTGCACGTTAAAAAGTTTAACAGCCAAATTCCAATACCACCAATTTCAGTGAAATCAGGTTATCAGTTGTGTCTGCAGTGGGACTGCTTGCAATGCATGGAAGTACACACATACCAACTCTCTACAAGATCAGCCTGTGGCAGAAGGTGTTACTCAACATGAGTAAGAGTGTCAGAGTCTCCCTTTAAATAATCAGATTGTATGGCCAGCCCAAAATATTTCTGGTTGAAATTAATATCAAAAGACTCCATCAAACAATGAGGATTTCAGAGGCTTCAGGAGCAGGATGAAAAAGAATGTGGAAATATTTGTTAAAAAAAAGAAAAAAAAGACACTTTCAAAAAGTGACAAAACTGATTTATTGTAGTTATTAGTTTTGATTAAATTTTTATAGATTTTCAATCGACTGAATTTCCCTAAGATTTTTAAAATTTGGTGTGTTTCATTTAATTTCAATGTGAAACATTTCTCAGTTTGACATTGTTTACATGGATCACCAATATATTCAAAAGCGATATGCAAATATCACATGAATCAGAAATATGGCAGAGCCAATTTTAAAAGCTTTTCAGAGAGTACAGTACAGTATATGAAGATTTTACCAGCATACAAACAAATAAGGATTAGGGCACTGCTGTACATAATTAAAACCTATATTTTAAATTATTGACCTGTGTTCTTACTTTTACATAACTTGCCTCATACTTAAGTTACATCAGGGCAAAAAAGTTTATTTACACACAACTTGTCTATATTTACAGTAAATAACCATAATTACCTACTGTGCTTTCAGCAGCCAAAAGCTAAATTGGCTAGAAACATCAAACGAACATTCTTAGAATAATGGTAGAGCTAGATGACACCAGATCATACATATTACCACCAAAAAAAAAACCAACCAACCCGCCCAAAAACCAAACCCCCCCCCACACTGAAAGGAATTTCATGTCATTTATCAATTTACAAAACCATAACTTAGAATTTTGGATCTGAATTACTTTCATAATGGTACAACCCTGAAATTACAGCCAAGCTATAGTTTATGGAATATAATTTCTGAAAACTAACCTACTTTACTGCTGGTTGGTTCTGTGAATAAAACTATACGGATTTCAAAGGTAGCAAGCCAAATCACCAACCATATTGCAAACAAACCTCAAATGCTGCCATCTTGGAAGTCTGTATGCACTGATTGCACTTTCTTATATCACAAGCATTCCTTTAAAGGTCTCACTATCCATGCATCTGAACTACATACCATATATTTAACATGTTCTCTGTATCTAGTCCAAGATATCATAGCAGGATACAGCTCTAATCATCTCATTTTCAAATCAGGCTGGTTAGAGAATATTTTTTCAGTTCTGCTTCAGTGACAAAAGTCAACTATAGCCCAGAAAACACTATTTGTTCCTTAATAGACCATTACGAGGAAATCATTCTAATAAAAAATGTTTTTCCATTTTAGAACAATAGTTAAACTAAAAACAAGTGCCTATAATTACAAATATAAACCCCATATGCTTTAAGGATACGATGTCTCATACATAAATAAAGATTTTTGTACTGAAGCCTAGCTATTCTCTATAACACCTGCTTTAAAGCAAATCCTTGAAGAATTATTACCAAGGCATACTCTTTTGTAATAGCCATTACTAACAACTTTTCCCCATATAAAAAGCTCCGTATTTCTATTTGGTGCAATGGAAGTCATGATCGATTGTAGACCAGGGTCAGAGAAATAAAGAACCTTTTATCACTTCAGTTGTAATACACAGAATACTCACAGAAACACAAATTAGCTGTTTTGTATCTAAGGGCCTGCTCCAGCAACTCTTACTTTTGCGAATAATCCTACTGAAATCAAAGAGGCCAATTCTTCTGATTTCAGTCACAGTCCATTAGTGCACCGTGCAGATCACCACCTTGGAAGCAGTGGTTAAACAGGATTTCCATCACTGCAATTGTAAAATTTGTCCACTTGAGATTTCCCATACAGTGCTGACTAATTAGAAGTTAGGTTTTCATTATTTTTGTTTGTTTGTTTATCTGGGCTCTCCAGAAAAAGCTAGCCGAGTACCGCATGGGGCAGAGGGAGGAGAGAATTCCTGGCATTGCCTCTTTTTGCATCGGTTCTCAAACTGTGGGTGTCAAAACTGTCAAAACCCCATTTTAATGGGATCGCCAAGGCTGGCTTACACTTGCTGGGGCCTAGGGCCAAAGCCCAAGCCCCACTGCCCGGGGCCAAAGGCTTCAGACCTGGGCGGCGGGGCTCAGGTTACAGGCCTCCTGCCTGTGGCTGAAGCCATTGGGCTTTGGCCCCTCTCCCCCCTGCCTGGAGTGGTGGAGGTCAGGCTTTGGGATCCCCGCCCCCTCATCTGGGGTGGTGGTGCTCAGGGGAGCTCAGGCTTTGATCCCCCTCCTGAGGTCCTGGGGTAATTTTTGTTGTCAGAAGGGGGTTGCAGTGCAATGAAGTCTGAGAACCCCTGGCTTATGGAAACCTTCAGGAGCAACGCTCCTGAAGAGAGATGGGGGAGCTGAATTAATCTCTTTCTAGGCATTGGGAATGTTCCCCTTGAATTGCAGTCTTTCTTGCTAGGGGAATCTTTCCTGGGAGGAATACATCTTTGTGATATGGCTGAAACATAAATGAAACTTACCTGTCATTCCTTTTCTTACTCTTCTTCCAGTTGCTACAGCATTCTACATTTCATCCCTCAGAAGAAACTATTCTTTCTGTTTTGGCAGTTTGGCTCTCAACACCCTTTTCTTTAAACTGGAGAACTGGTCTGCCTGAGGAGGATCAGTTAGCTTTCCTGGTATGAGTTAAAGCTTGTGAAGCAAACAGCCGCTTCCAGGAGCAGAGACAGGCCCAGGTGGCAATAATTAAGGGAGACACAGGTGCCAAATCAGCAGCTACTAGGAAAATTCAGTTGTCCGTGCAAAGCCAGAGCAGTAGACTGGAGCTGGTTGCTTGTAGGAAAACGCTGACGAAACGGGCTAAATAATAGTTCCGATATAGCCTCAAGGATAAAAGCAAAATGCAAGTGTCCTCAGGTATCTGAGAGACTGCACTTGCTTGCAAGAGCCTGAAAAGTTCTTGTCTTGTCTTAGATGTGTTTTTTAAAATACATTTTTATCATATTATCTGTTTATGTTTCACCAATCCTTGCTTCTCAGCTGAGCTGCTTGCTGAGGTGACAGCTACTCACCTGAGTAAGGTCTGCAGGATCTGGTCCTTAAGGCTGTGATTTTCAAAAGGACCTAAGTACTGAGGAGCATAGGGCCCATTCTTCTAAATCAATTAGCTGCTGTTGAAAATTTCACGCTAAGTTCTCAATCTGATGCAGTATCCACGCTCCCTGACAGCTAAGCCATATTTCAAAAAGGACTGAAGTGTTGTTAAAATGCTGATTGCTGTCAATGTGACAAAAAACACCAACAACCAAACAGCTCCATAAACGATGGATGTTACAAACCCAGCCTATAGTGAAAGCCAGAAATGAAATACTTTAAGTCTCTTTCAGGGCATTACAAAGTCAGAGCTTCAGCACTGCCAACTCCCAGTGTTAAAAAAATCATGACTTTTTTAAAAATAAAAGTTGTGTCTTGGGTTGTAGACCCTTTTGGTTACACTTTTGTCATGTTTTCAAGCTTTTCTCTGCAAGTATGAGGCATTAGAAATTTTCATTAAAAAATTGAGAAGCTGAGATTCTCAAGTAATCACAGGATTCCAGGAGCTGGAGACACTGAACACCCCCCCCCCCCAGTACTAAATTTTATAAGATTCATATAAAACACAAGAGGTGGCAACATTATATTGTACTGAAAGGAAGTTATCCCGAATAAAATAAATAATGGAATCTTTAAAACAAAATTAACTTTAAGTACCCTCCAATTGTCTGAACAGTTTGTTATTTTTATACAAACAGGAAGAAATAACACAGCTACCCTTTGAACATAGCTGCCCTTTAAACCAGAGTCTCCTTTTATCTTTTCTATTACAAACATGTACTCATGCTTGTTAAAATTAGCCAGTGGGTTTTTAAATATACAAATTTGTAGGCAACGACTATTAAAAGGATAAAAAGAACATAAATGAAAGCCATAAGTTTAGAAAGTAAACAGCAGGACAACAGCATGTACAGTAGATCAGCCTAATAACTCTTGTGCAGAAACAGTGATCTGTTTATATCTTTAGCTGCAGGCACTTTGTCAGCCTATGTGTGATGATTGCCAGCTTGGCAAGAGTTTGAACTGGGGCCCTCCAGAGCTAAAAGCATGAGTTATTATAGTTTGAATTAGACAGCCAGGCACTGTAGCCAACTCATGTCCTCTGTGGATTGAGGACAGATGCATGATACACACTGACCAGTGGTTTACATATGCAAGATGTGCAGTTATGTTTTGTAAACTGATCACTGGGTTACATCAGAAACTGATCACATTAGAAATCACCATTCATGTTTGGACTAGCCCTCAAGAAAAGTGCAATGCCCAGTGCACGTGGTATGCTTTAGCACTACTGGAAAAGTGGCACTTAGGCAATAAATCTATTGCATGTTTCTAGGTTGGGTCGGGTGGGGGGGGGGACATAAGAATTATGAGCATGGGTTCTTCCATACTGACCCATTCAACGGTATATATAATGGGGCTCTCTGTTCTGCAAGGAAGGGACTTCAGATAATTATCTGAGTGTGGGAACTCCCTTGTCCCATTTATCTCTTCAGTGTTATAAATCTACCAATTTCTTTTATCACTAAAAGCTATGGCTAGTTGGAAAGGGATGCTGGAATATATCTTCCTGCCTTTCCTCAGACCGAGAGCTCTCTTCACAATGTCCTCCATCACTACCATCATACAGAGAGACACTAGGGACCAACTTCTGCACTGGTGTCAACAGTTGCAATACTCATCCAAGTCAATAAAAGTTGATCCTCTTTCCCTCAGAACAATGTTTGGTTTGAGGTCTGTAACAGCGCAACAAACCACTGTCTGAGATGCTGAGTCATTCTTTCTGAATTCTTGTATTTTGCAAGAAGCTAAATGCCAAGTTCTTCATTTGGGCAAAGTCCAACAGCCTTACTCAGGTATGCTCCAATTGAAGTCAGTGATTCAAATCTGAATTAAATTAGAGTTTGCCTGTGTAAAGGCAAAGAAAGGACCTCAGAATTTGACTCTAATTCAATTTATGTTTCAGGACTATATTTCATTAGATAGATTACAAAGTAAAATGTATATATAAGAATTGGGAGTGGGAGGTAAGTTCCTGAACTGGGCCCCATTTATATATTATTCCAACCCCATAATGTACAGATCACACCTTCACGTGTCCAACTGATCTTAAGCCAAGGCACTGGCTCTGACTGGTTGATTTTAAACTCTGATTGACTTGTCAGGTGTGAAGACTCCATTTTGAATCTGTGTGAGCTGACGAGAAAAAAGGAAGCATTGTTAGAGAGTTTTGCAGTTAGAATAATACTGCCAAAGCTAAGTTCTGGAAAGCACACATTGCAACAGAGAATGATGTATGTCACAGCTTTACATTTCAGCTTTGAGAAAGCACATTGAAACCATTTATCCAGCATCTTAAAAAGCACCATTAAAAGGTTTAACAACAGAGAACACTCGGTATACAGAATTTTGAGCAAGAGTATCAGCAGGAACTGTGCAGGGATCCATGGAAAAGTATACAGCCCAGAAGAATCCTTGGAAGATGGATTCCTAAAGGCACAATATGTTATGTCCTGAAGGATGCAGCAGTTGATACCTAGCCAACTGCTACTGTGGAAGATTTCAGCTTTGGGTGACCAATGAGAGTCTGAATCACAGCACCTATTTCCCTCCTGCAATTTTTTTCTAATACTATTCACCCTGCTACATATGAGAGAGTTTACAAGTGATTTTTATGCAAAAGACCATGAGCAACTATTAATCCTAGACAGATGTAGACCCAGTACGCCCCCGGCCTGAAAGCTCACTGGATCACTAAAGATTTACAAAAGAAGATCAATAACTCTTCATTGCAAGGCTTTGTTGTAACATCTATCTTTCTGGAAAGACTGTGACATGGCTATTCCCATCCTGGGCCTAACCATTCTGACTTTCCAAGACTTTTAGTCTGTGTTCCTCTCTTCCTACAAATTGCACAGTCAGTTCTGATTTGTCCAAGAGGCTTCAGGAGCTGGCCACATCCTCTCTACCTCTGTACTAAATGAACACTTACAAAGTGGTATGGAAACATTGAATACTAATCAGTTGGTCAGATTATGAATAGATTAGATTATTTTGGTAACTAGGTACATGGGCCTCAATAAGGATGTGATATAAATACTCTGTGGCTTTATCTTTGTGGCTGGAGGAGAGATCAGTTTTAGGCCTTGACTACACTAGAAAAGATTTGCTGGTATAACTAAATCAGCAAAAGCTCCTAGTGAAGAGACAGTTTATATCGTGAGATTCTAGTTTATACTGACAAAGAAAGTTATTTTGCTGGCATAGTTTACACCAGTTCCCTGAAAGAAATTAGTGATTCCAGCCAAAGGACTTTTTTGCTGGTATCTCCACTAGGGCTTTTGCTGATGCAGCTATGCTGATTAGGGTGTGATTTTTTTCACACTACTAACCAACATAGCTATGCCAGCGAAACTTTTAAGTGTACAGCAGGCCGTAGAAAGAAAATCATCAGATAGCAAATATGTTCTGGATACTGACCTCACCCCTAATATGAGACATTTGGGATGTAGTGAGCATGGAGGAATTAATGGAAAAGGAGAGAGAAGTAAGGACAGGCAAAGCATGTCCCTCTGCCTTAAAAATACTAGTATTAATCTATTTGTGACCCTGGTTTGAAACATCTGCCGAAGGATGCTGCTGAGCTCTGGTGCTTCCCCCATCCAATATACAGCTGAAGAGGAAGTGCAGTGGAAGCATCATTGAGAGTCCAGATCTTACTCTTGGAAAGGAGTGAGAAGAGATGCCAGATTCCTTGTCAAGTGATTACATTATCCAGGTGAGAACTTGGGATGGGACCCTGGCACATTTCTCTTTAAAGGTGGATTGGACCTGGAGGCTGAAAGGGAATTTTGGACTTGCCCCTGAAGAGCCCTTCATGAGGGAGGACTGTTCTGTTTGCTGGCTTCCAACAGCTAAAGAGCACTGATCCACCCCCACAAAGGAATCTCAGGGGTGTGAAGGGATATAAATGCCCCAACTAGCCACCCAGACTCTGAGCCCCTTAGGGAGTAGTCTTGGCAGATCTCCCCATCTGTGGCTCCTGAGTAGGTTTCCTTACAAATGGTATGCCTCTTGACCTTTGACCTGTGCTGCCATGATGGGGGTGGGAAGAATAGGCAAAGAAGGATCCCAGCAGGGGCCCTTGTTTAGGGAGCCCCCCCTCCAAAATTTTTGAGGAAAGGAAATGGGAAAATAGGGGGGAAAGACTGTGGCTGCCCCCCCAAAAAATTGGCTTTGAAAGGTGGAAGAGGCAGAAACAATAAACTGGAGGCAGAGAATCTGGTACAAGGATGAAAGTATTGAAAGGACTTTGAGCCAGGACCAAGATACTTGTGGCTTAGTCTGAACTGCCTCTGCATGTGCACGAAAAGAGTCACAGCCCAAATGTCCCAGAGTGAGTGGGAGGTCAGGATCCAGAAAGTTTTCATTGCTCTGATACTGCAAGATTTCATTGGAGAGTATCACTGCTTCACAAAATAATTCTGTGTCTTGTATAATAATGAATGAATTTACTGCTTACAGCTTAAAATAATCACTTTTATAACTGTGTGTTATTAAACAAATTCATGTTTGGTATGTAGTGCTTTATGAGACCAAGTATTTACTGTGCCCATAAGTTACAAAAATACCCAGTTAGATTTGATACATCCCTGGTAAAAATTACCAGTATTGCTTAATACCAATTGAAACATTATACCACTAACTGGGCCCAGTCTCAGTGTATGCATATCTTTTTGCTTTTCTTTTTTAAAGCAAAAACAAACATTTTCAAACACACACTATATAATATTGCATATACAAACATGAGATGGCCCATGGATTTGAACACTATCAAATTTTGGGAGAAGGAGAAATTTAAATCTGAATTTAAATTTTGCAGCTGTGTTTGTGTGTATAAAATAACACACACACATATACCAGATGTGGTGCATTTTCCTGTGTTCTTAGTGTGGTCCATTATGGTGTGTTGAAAGAAACAAAAGAACCAGCAAAACACCTATCTATTTAATCTCTCTAAGCCATATCCTTTGTTTTTATTAGTAACCATGTAACTTGAATGCTCTGGAATGATACTGATTTTAAAACTGGTTGCCAAAATGGTCAATTACCATCTCATCCCAAGAGAGTCTTCTCCTCCCTTGCTGTTTTCTTTCCCCATTAGTTTTTAGTATAGGAATGTTGAGCACCAGGGCTTTCCCTGAACATTTCTCATCCTCTTCTTTTCTCTCTTTGCCTTTTAACAAAGTGGTCTTTGCACAGACTGAATGATTTTGATTTTTGAAAAAACAGCAAGGCATATTCTACACACCTGCTTAGAAATCGGATAAAGCCTAGTAACAATTAAAGTATTCATTTATGTGCTTCTATTACAACTAATAGGTAATGTTTTTAAAACCAGGATAATTTTTTTGTTACATAAAATGGCAAGTTAATATACAATATTTTTGAACATGGAAAATTTGTTAGGAAGTAAGCATAAAACTTAAAATATCAACCCCCATGTACCACACCCAGTAAATAAATTCTCATAATAAAAAAATATGTTTTTTACATTTGGATCTGATTACATTTAAGTTGAGCAACTTAAAAGAAGCAGATTTCTTAAAGATGAGGTCAATGCTGCGTTAATGTGGACCAGACATCCATTTGCACAGCCCTTCAGATGTAACACGACAGCTGCCCAAATGCTGTGTGTGTAAGTCTGAATGTGTGCAAGAGACAGAACCTAAATGTTAAGGCTATAGTTTTAAAGCAATATGCTCCCAGATAATTTTTAAAAAGGCAACAAACAACCCCTACAAATACCAGTCCTTAAATACTGACAGTCAAGTTCTAAAGCTTGACTTAAAAAAACATGGACTCTACAAAATGAATTCAAGTACTATTGATGTAAGTCACTTGTGAACTGAAGTACCTTTTGTTTAGACCATTGCAGTAATAAAACCGGAATGGAACACATTAATATTCTGTATCCATCTCTTATCACATCTGGCTGCAAGAGCTCACAGTCCTAATATACTGAAATGCAGAGCTCCTCCTGTGTAAAGTTAAACTCATTTTTCCTGGCCCCACAAAGAAAGTCTGAGTTGAAGTATGGAGCTAAAATAATCTGAGATTTGCTCTTTGAAGAGGAGGGCTGAACTTGAAGCCAAACAATCCTTGAGAAATATTTTGAAGCTAAGGACAAGAATAATATTTAGAAATGTAAAGCTGGTTTTCTTTAATGACAGTATTTTTAGGAAGTGATCACTTTGAGGTGACAAATGTGGTACTCTTTCCCAAATACTGGTTGTCTTGAAACTCTAACAATAAAGGATCCTTTAAACCCTTTTGATTTCAATCCTGAACAGATGTAATCATTCTAGTGAGGTTCACACAACCAGCAAGATAGTGCATCCTGGATGAAAAATGTTTTGCTTCTTTGTCTTTAACTTTTGTTCTGTACTTATACTTTGACTTTCTGTTGTTCAAAAGGAAAAATATTCCTGTTCTTGTTTCACATGAATCTGTTGAAAATACCTGTTGATAATACTTGTCATAATCTTGTTGCCAGGGCAATTAAAGTCTGGTGATATCCCTAGAGTTTTGCTGCAAGTCCCCTATACTCTCATAGTCATTCTCTCCTTGGAGAACAGCTTGGCTGGTGTTAGGCACTGATAAGGTCTTGTCTTCCTCTTGGCTTACTGACTGGACCACTTCGTAGTCCGGCTCGGACTCCCCATTTGGCCCGTCCGCTGACTGAGGCACAGTGGTAATGTCTGAGGTGTTTTCCAAGTCCTTTACGCTAGCATAGAGGCCACTGCAAATAGATGGGGACCTTTGAGGTACAACTTCTTGAATACTAGTGTAAGTAGAATCCAGCACTCTGATGGCCTGCCCTGGTTTACTCACAGAAGAGTACATAGCTGAAATCTAGGGAAGAGAGAGACGGATTTAATTTTTAAGCATAGCAAAGAACTTCTGTTTCATCATCCTCAATCTGTTTTGAAGTCAGCCATGGAAAAGTATATTGCTGCTACATGCATCAATTTTCTTTATGGAGAAAACATTATTTATTAACAACCACCATTGAACATAATCCCTTGTAGCCAAATCTGTATACAAAAGAGAGCCAGCCCTGTGGGAAAGTTGATAGAGTTACAGTAAGTTCTACCTCAAGATTCTCAATGCTCTGGCTGACTGTGGGTGTGACAAGGAAATGACGGGTTTCAGCTTCTGGAAAACAGTGTGTGTGTGGAATGTAATTTGGACCTAATTTTAGAACCTCTGATAGAATGCCTACTCTTTTACCCGTGGATAGAGGCTGCACTGTAACTATAGTAGTCACAGGTGCTATGAGGGACCAAGGATGTGAAGAGAAAATAAAAATGGAGGACAACATTTACTCAGACAAGGCAATATTAAATAAAACTAGAGCTAATGCTGGGCCTGATGCTTCAGACCCTATTCATTTGGCTTCAGTGGGATTGCTTCCTGAGCAGGGGTCACAGGATCAGTCCCTCTGTGACTTAGGATTACAAGTTAAAGAGCAAACCCTTGTCAGCATGTCTTGGAGGCTGACAGGGAGAGGGAACACCCATGGTCACACTAGTCAATTCCCACTAGCAGATGACAAAATCAATGTGCCTGAAAAGCTATGAAATAATAAACCGCAAACAAGGGCATTAATGGTTCCATAAAAAGGCACTTTCAAAGGGAATAATTAATAAAGAGAGCCAAATCTCATAAAACACACAGAGCTGAATACAGGGGCCATGTGCTCAAACAAGCACACATAAAAGGCCTGGAGCCCAGACTTGGAATCCTGAACCCCAGAATGCAGTAGACAGCACACAGCCACTGCTCTAGATATGTGGTGCAGAAGTAGATGATACTCACTGCTCCACCCTATGTGTGGATTTAGCTTTGTGGTTCCACTTCTGTCTATACCCCTTCTCTGCTGGAACGCAGAGAGCCTTGTAGTGCATAAGGCAGGGGGTGGAGCTGACATATGTGGGTTTTCTGAGCCTACTACCTTTGTTAATGGAAACATAGCTCTTCTGTTACATCTTGGGTCTTTCACACGCATGCAGGGTCATTCATGATTTGGATTAAGTGAATTAAGAAACAAGAGATGTGCATTATCATAAGACAACATTGAGTGCCGCAGGTGCATCTGTGATTCTCATAGGCAGTTCAAACACTTCTATTAATGTTCTGGTGTATTTTTTAATTGATTAACAGATGTATCACTTTCCAGGTGGTGATATTTCCCATCTCTTATTTCCTACAAACAATAGGAAATACAGACAAAAAGTTTTCCTACTAATATATTTCCTGAAATACCATGTTCATGCATGCATAGAGTCCCAGGACTAAATTAAAGGAACCCAACTTCAAGGATGACTGCCTGTCTATGACTCTTTTAATATAATATATGAGATCATGTGGCGCACTGTAAAGTTTGTGTTTGCTTTTTTGTTTAGACAACACATATTTGTGTATTTCATGGGGTTACTCGAGGTGACCACACTCAGCTTCTCTCTTTTTTTAAAAAAAACTTTTCTCTTCCTTCCCTATTTGGATCCCCTTCGTTTGTTTTACTTGTATACATTTTTAGAGGATGGCTTTATATTCCAAATGGTTTTATTATGATTTAAATCTATTTTACACTGCCCCAATCACTATGGGTAGGGGAGCACTTAAAAAAACAGGCCATATTGGGCCACTGATTTATTTTAAGCAGAACTCCTCATTGAAATCAACTGGACTATTTATGGCCTCAAATTATTTATTGGTATTAATTCTTTACAAGGCAGTAACCCCCTAGTAACAGGTATGAAAAACCAAAATGCAATGTTCTCCTTTAGAACACCTCAGATTTTATGACTTTGGCTTTATAAATGGAAAAAATAATCCACAGCTTTAGTCTCCCTCCAGAGAATTTTCACCTTTCTCAGACCCCACTTAATCATGCACAACTTATGCTGATCTCAGTCTGAAAAAAATGTCTTCTGGTTAGTTATTAAATTTCATGCAAGAAACCTACATCATCTTCTGTAAGAGACGGGTCTTCCTCTCGAGACTTGTAAGACAGTGAACTAAGCCTCTGTAAGAGAAAAAAATCCTCATTAACAGTGAACATGGTGAAATCTGTAATACAGCATTCCCCTTAGAATCAATATATATTACATGGGTATTTGCTCACTCCATTCTATTTTACATCAACTAATATCCATGCTACTGCTTTTGAGATAAACAGCCCTGAGGGTAGTATGGCTTTTTAGTGCACCAGCATTGTTCTGAACCTGACTATCATAAATAAAGGTAAATACAATTCAATGGTTAAATGGACTCAGTTCTATAGGATTCCTGCAGTTAGATTTCTAGTGAAGAAAGGAGGAGTCTTCAAAGGGTTTACAATCATGAACAATTAACACCAGGCTGTTATGTAAGGCTTACCATAACACACTATTTACATCTAAGAATTATTTCTAATTAAAAATAGTTAGTTTAAACAAATTCAAAGGAATAATATCCCTTTAAAAGAGACACTTGAGTTACTGGAGGTACCATTCTTTGTTAAAATGTCGATGGAACCTTTGCAAAATGGTTGTGGCTGTTGTCTTGATGTTGGGTTGGAGGCTTTGGCCTCACAACTGAGGAAATACAGGTGTTACCCGTGAGGTTGGTTTAACAAAAAAATCAAAGATATATTTACATAAACATTCCCTTTTTTGTTGCTACAGCAGAACCAGCAGATGCTGCTGTGCGTTGATAGTGAAAGCTAAATAGAGGAATGGGAAATTAGAATTAAAAAAAACCCTACAACAACCCCCATCTACAATGCTTAAAAGATTCAATCAATTCCCATTTTCAACTGTGCTGCAGCTGTAGTTCTCAAAGACAGAGCAGGCCTGCACTTCAATGCATTATGCACGTACATGTCAAGAAACATGTGATGCTGCCGGAGCTCTACCTCAGGATGACTTTTACTCTGAATACATTTTAATTAGACAAACACCTTTTCTCTGGCACTCAGGGAACTGTATGTGTCAGCTCTCGATTAATTCTTCAAAGCGTGAACCATTTTAATCAATTCCTAGTCCCTGCAGATTCTGACATTGTATTCTCTGGATTGGGGAGCTACAGAGTAGCAAATACATTTCTTTGCATCAATGACTATGAAATAAAAAGATTTTTTGGAAGATTTTTCACACCTGACAGGAATAAAGTCATTAATACTGATAAATTTTCCCCATAAATATTAGGGTTGGTGTAAATATTCATTACAAATAATATTTATTATATATTTAGCTCTTTTTGGTTAATTATTAGCAAAGCAATCTTAATTTTCTTTCAATAACCTTGTTATTTGTAAGTATTCACTGAACAATCTTGATGAATAATTTTCAGGCTTATGGGTTGTGTGTAAATTGTTCACTTTAATTCTAATATAGCCACCTATATTATAGGGTGTTTTTCTGCTCCCTGATTGGATGATTGAAACATGTTAAATAGGAGACTCACCAATAATAAACAGCAAGTAATATATATCCAATACACATTTCAGACAAAATCATTCACATTAAAAATTGTGAAACTCTGGAGATTTGTTAATATTTTAATAAATACTAGGGCTGTCAAGTGATTAAAAAATCATGATTAATTGCGTGATTAAAAAAATAATCATGATTAATCGTGTGATTAATCGTGCTGTTAAACAATAATAGAATACCATTTATTTAAATATTTTTGGATGTTTTCTACATTTTCAAATATATTGATTTCAATTATACCACAGAATACAAAATGTACAGTGCTCACTTTATATTTATTTCTTATTACAAATATTTGCACTGTAAAAAACAAACAAACTAGTATTTTTTCAATTCACCTAATACAAGTACTGTAGTGCAATCTCTTTAACATGAAAGTTGAACTTACAAATGTAGAATTATGTACAAAAAAACCCCTGCATTCAAAAATAAAACAATGTAAAACTTTAGAGCCTACAAGTCCACTCAGTCCTACTTCTTGTTCAGCCAGTCGCTCAGATAAACAAGTTTGTTTACATTTGCAGAAGATAATACTACCTGCTTCTTGTTTACAATGTCACCTGAAAGTGAGAACAGGCATTTGTATGGCACTGTTGTAGCCAGTGTTGCAAGATATTTTACATGCCAGATGTGCTAAAGATTCATGTCCCTTCCTACTTCAACCACCATTCCAGAGGACATGCGTTCACGCTGATGATGGGTTCTGCTTGATCATGATCCAAAGCAGTGCAACCAACACATATCCATTTTCATCATCTGAGTCAGATGCCACCAGCAGAAGGTTGATTTTCTTTTTTTTGGTGGTTTGAGTTCTGTAGTTTCTGCATCAGAGTCTTGCTCTTTTAAAATTTCTGAAAGCATGCTCCACACTTCATCCCTCTCAGATTTTGGAAGGCACTTCAGATTCTTAAATTGTGGGTTGAGTGCTGTAGCTGTCTTAAAAATTTCACATTGATATCTTCTTTGCATTTTGTCAAATTTGTAGTGAAAGTGTTCTTAAAATGAACAATATGTGCTGGGTCATCATCTGAGACTGCTATAACATGAAATATATGGCAGAATGCGGGTAAAACAGCAGGGGACGTACAATTCTCCCCCAAGGAGTTCAGTCACAAATTTAATTAACACATTATTTTTTTAATAAGTGTCATCAGCATGGACGCATGTCCTCTGGAATGGTGGTTGAAGCATGAAGGGACATAGGAATCTTTAGCGCATCTGGCACGTAAATATCTTGGGACGCCAGTTACAACAGTGCCCTGCAAATGCCTGTTCTCACTTTCAGGTGACACTGTAAACAAGAAGCGTGGGGCATTATCTCCTGCAAATGTAAACAAACTTGTTTGTCTTTGCAATTGCCTGAACAAGACGTAAGACAGAGTGGACTTGTAGGCTCAAAAGTTTTACATTGGTTTGTTTTTGAGTGCAGTTATGTAACAAAAAAACCCTACATTTGTAACATGCACTTTCATGATAAAGAGATTGCACTCCAGTACTTGTATGAGGTGAACTGAAAAATACTATTTCTTTTATCATTTTCACAGTGCAAATATTTGTAATAAAAAACAATATAAAGTGAGCACTGTACACTTTGTATTCTGTGTTGTAATTGAAATCGATATATTTGAAAATGTAGAGAAGCATCCAAAAATATTTAATAAATTTCAATTGGTATTCTATTGCTTAAAAGTGCGATTAATTGTGATTAATTTTTTTGAGTTAATCGCGTGAGTTAACTGTGATTGACAGCCCTAATAAATACCCAATATAATTTGAGCACACACAAATAACAAAAAGAAAAGGAGTACTTGTGGCACCTTAGAGACTAACCAATTTATTTGAGCATGAGCTTTCGTGAGCTACAGCTCACTTCATCAGATGTTTACCGTGGAAACTGCAGCAGACTTTATATACACACAGAGAATATGAAACAATACCTCCTCCCACCCCACTGTCCTGCTGGTAATAGCTTATCTAAAGTGATCAACAGGTGGGCCATTTCCAGCACAAATCCAGGTTTTCTCACCCTCCACCCCCCCACACAAATTCACTCTCCTGCTGGTGCTAGCCCATCCAAAGTGACAACTCTTTACATAGTCAAGTCGGGCTATTTCCTGCATAGATCCAGGTTTTCTCACATCCCCCCCCACGCCCAACACACACAAACTCACTCTCCTGCTGGTAATAGCTCATCTAAACTGACCACTCTCCAAGTTTAAATCCAAGTTAAACCAGAACATCTGGGGGGGGGGGTAGGAAAACAAGAGGAAACAGGCTACCTTGCATAATGACTTAGCCACTCCCAGTCTCTATTTAAGCCTAAATTAATAGTATCCAATTTGCAAATGAATTCCAATTCAGCAGTTTCTCCTGGAGTCTGGATTTGAAGTTTTTTTTTTTAAGATAGCGACCTTCATGTCTGTGATTGCGTGACCAGAGAGATTGAAGTGTTCTCCGACTGGTTTATGAATGTTATAATTCTTGACATCTGATTTGTGTCCATTTATTCTTTTACGTAGAGACTGTCCAGTTGACCAATGTACATGGCAGAGGGCATTGCTGGCACATGATGGCATATATCACATTGGTGGATGTGCAGGTGAACGAGCCTCTGATAGTGTGGCTGATGTTATTAGGCCCTGTGATGGTGTCCCCTGAATAGATATGTGGGCACAATTGGCACGGTTTGTTGCAAGGATAAGTTCCTGGGTTAGTGGTTCTGTTGTGTGGTATGTGGTTGTTGGTGAGTATTTGCTTCAGATTGGGGGCTGTCTGTAGGCAGGACTGGCGTCTCCCAAGACTTGTGAGAGGTTGGGTCATCCTTTAGGATAGGTTGTAGATCCTTAATAATGCGTTGGAGGGGTTTTAGTTGGGGGCTGAAGGTGGCTAGTGGGTCTGTTATTTTCTTTGTTAGGCCTGTCCTGTAGTAGGTAACTTCTGGGAACTCTTCTGGCTCTATCAATCTGTTTCTTTACTTCTGCAGGTGGGTATTGTAGTTGTAAGAAAGCTTGACAGAGATCTTGTAGGTGTTTGTCTCTGTCTGAGGGGTTGGAGCAATGGGTTGTATCGCAGAGCTTGGCTGTAGAGAGGATGTGGTGTGGAGGGGAAAGCTGGAGGTGCGGTAGGAATAGGGTCAGTAGGTTTCGGATAGGGTGGTGTTTATGTGGCCATTGTTTATTAGCACTGTGTGTCCAGGAAGGGATCTCTTGTGTGGACTGGACCGGCGAGGTTGGTGGTGGGTGGAAATTGTTGAAATCATGGTGGAATTCCTCAAGGGCTTTTTTCCATGGGCCAGAGATGAAGATGTCATCAATATAGGCAAGTAGAGTAGGGGCTTTAGGGGACGGAGCGGGGGTTGTTCTAAATCAGCCTAAAAATGTTGGCAACTGTGGGGCGGGACCCATGCAGTGCGCTGACTGAAGGTAACATTGTCCCCAAATGGAAATAGTTATGGGTAAGGACAAAGCACAAAGTCAGCCACCGGTTAGAGACAAAACACCACAAGACTCTGTCACTTTCACAACACAATACCCACCTGCAGAAGTAAAGA